CTAGGCGTCAGCAGCTTTTGAGGCTTTTGTGCTGACAATAATCGCACAGCGCTCTTCTTTTCAATTCATCAGCAACAACAGGGGATCACATGTCCCTGTGCAGAATCCAGAAAGAGAGAGGGCACTGATGGAGTGAAAGTGGCCATCGCGTTGCCTGGATACGGCTTGGGTCAATGGTGAGGAGTCTATGTGCGCAGGTACATGCTTTCTAACAGTCAACCCCCTTACACTAAAAAAAAAAAAATAATTTGGGTTGATTTTTTTTTTTTTTGGTTGCCCTTTTAAAGAACAATTTATCTCATGTTGCAGTGTGATGGAGAAACAATGAACATTAGGAGATATGATCATTTGTTATAAATTCAAAATATTTGCGCAGCTATGTAACTTAGAAATTTAGACTTTTTTCAACTTTTTTTTCTCGCAAATAAAATCTATGAAATGGTCACAAATTACTTAGATCAGCCGCCCTCCCACCCAATCAGCACAGGAGGATGAGGAATTGTCATTATCTGGCCTGTTTGCTCCTCCCTACAGTAATTAGTAATTCCTCTCACCTGCCGTTTTCCCTCCCTGCTTTAAATACAATTTATTCCCCTTACCTGTTTCCTCTGGTTTAAATTCAGTTCAGCCTGAGCATTCATGGCCAGATCATTTCTTGTCTTTCTGTCAGTCTGTCTGTTCAGTTTTTAGTTCATGGTTCATATCCTGGATCCTGGCAGCCAGTGGAAAGAGGGTTTTTGTGTTTGTCTCGTCTCCTGATCGTCCACTGTTCCTCCCCCACGGAGTCCTCTGGGTTTTTGGCTCAATATGTGGTGAGGTTCAGTTTTTATCCAGTAAGCCTGGCTCCAGAGAGGAGACCAGTTTAAAGTCCTGCTTCAACTTCTGGTTCTACGTCCTGTCTCGGCTACCCTCTTCCACTGTGCCTGCCTGTCTGCACCTGATCCTGTCTGCTCCTGTGCGTGACCACCTGGTCATGCTTCTGGACCCTGTCAGACTCTGAACCCGCCTGGGAGCTTGTGCATGCCTGGAAGTCTGGATCCTGTTCTGTTCCCCCATTTCATCATTCTGCTTCATTCTCTCTCTGTTCTCCTATTCTGCAGAATCTGTTAGTTCAATCTCTAACCTTCTGCTCTCTCTGCTTTTCCTCAGAGTAGCTTTGCCTCGTCTGTTCCTGTTTGGCTGTGACGTCATCCTGGAAAGAAACATCAGCTGTGCTGCTTCCATCAACACCCTTGTTTATAGATGTTGGAGATCGGCCTGTTTTCCAGTGTGGTCCTGTTTTCCAGTGTGGTCCTGTTTTCCAGTGTGGTCCTGTTTCTCTGACCGTGACTGAGTGGATGTGCTCTCTTCGTCCTCTGGCATGGGAGCTGCCTTGGAGCTTGTCTGCCTGGCTGTGTGTTTCCTGGACGGGGCCGCCTTTTACAGCTGCTTTTTGTATCTCTGCTTCTGTCTCCTTGAACCCCAGTCGGCCTCGACAGATGGCCGCTCACACTGAGCCTGGTTCTGCTGGAGGTTTCTTCCTGTTAAAAGGGAGTTTTTCCTCTCCACTGTCGCTACAAGCATGCTTAGTGTGAGGGATTGTACTGTATTTGAGTCAATGAGTCGATGCAATCAACTGGTTTTCCTTAGATAGAAAACTTTGTATCAATTTGACTGTATGATCTGGTTGAACTGTGAAGTGCCTTGAGATGACATGTGTTGTGAATTTGGCGCTATATAAATAAACTGAATTGAATTGAATCTGTTCTGGATCCCTGACCAGGATCGGCTTCCAGCATGACCTCTGGGACTGCAGCCTTTGGGGACATTCTTGGTCTGGACTGTTAAACCAGGTAAGTGACCAACTCAGATAATCTTCTGTCAAATGATTGTGGTCACTTACCTGTGTTTCTCCCACTACAGAGTGTCTGAGATTGGGCGGTACCCCGTCCCCCCGCCTGCAGTGTCCGCGGAGCCACAGCTCCGCTTTAGTTTGTTTTATTTAATAAACTTTTTTAACTTTCCTACTGGCTGTCTTTCCTTGAATACTGGGTCCATCTGTCCTCATTTTATGACAGGAGTATATCAAGATATCGAGATATTAACATATTTTAATCTGCCATTATTTATTCTCACCTTTTAAGAAGTCTTTAAGTATTTTAATACTGTAGAGTTAAACATTTTTAGAGAAAAAACGTTAACTGGTTCTTAGATATTGTGACATAGTAAACATATAGTCATATCTGCAATATATGGTGAGTATCATAGGGTGACCAGGTTTGGGTTTTTTCTTTTGGGTTTGGGTTTCCTTCTTTTGCCTGCCTTGGGTCTGGGGATTTCCTCCTAGGCCTATGGGCCTGTTCCCCCTAGGGGGATTGGCCCCCAGACCTAAGAGAATAGTTTATGTATGAGGAGTATAAGAATATGTTTAGTGTCTGCCCCTCTGTGCATCTCCGTTGAGTGCTTGTATGTGTGTATATGGGTTAAATGGTGGTATTGTGTGACTGGCTGAATGTGATGCTGTTGCTGTCTACTTGTTAGGTTGGGTGTTTGCATCCCCCGCACCACCTACTTAACATTCTAAGCCCCAAGAATGAGCAGGGCCTGCTTCCTTCCTCTTCTTTTGGTCCCTGCCAGTGACAGGTGCTTGTGTTTGTTGGGTTGGGTATGTCAGAGGGCGTTGTCTCATTCCTGGTTGTTGCTGGGCTTGAGCCTCCTGGCCCTGTGGGGTCTCCACTTGGGGATATAGCGTGCCCCCGTACCTCAGGGCTCTCATCGGTTTCCACCTCGGTCGGGACCAGCCGCCAGCATAGCCCATGGGCTCGCTGCCGCAGACCCATGGGACCCCAACACAGGTCGGGCCCCTGTGCGGTTTGGCGCATCAGGGGTCTGGGTGCGGGTAACCTCATCTGACATTCTTCTCTGATGGGTTTGGCCAACCCTATGTCTGCCCTCCTTGTATCCCAGTGATCCAGAGTATCTCTGAATATCTTGGGCTCGCATCACCTCTTTTTCTGTCCAAGGCCTTGTAGGGTGACTCCGGGGCTGCTCACACCTGCTATTAGGCATAATTTCCTTCTGAAGCAGCTTTGTAAATCCTTTATACACGAGGATGCCTATGCATACATCCATACTATGGGAGTTGGGTTCCAGGTGTTATAAACACTAATACTTAATGCTAAGATGCAGCTACAGATATGTACCACCCTGAATAATGATGTGTAATCACCTTACGTTTTGCCTTCCCAACACATGAATATCTAAGGGATACCCGCTGCTCATTTTTGGATGTGTACTTCGGTTTTATGTTGTCTGCTTTTTGCTGTTATGTTCTCTGTTTTCTGTTCCTCTCATCTCATACAGGTCAGGAAGCAGACTTCTAGTAGTTAGTGTATATCTTCTGTGTCTATTTTTGCTGTTTTGTTTTATTTTCTCTCTTTTCATTAACTCTATCCTGTCTCTCTCGCTCTCTCCCCCTTTAGTTTTCTTAAAACCTCTTTGTCCGTTGTAAACGGACACAGAGGTTAAAAGGATAACTACATTTGACCCCAAATATTATGACTATTTTGATGAAAAAAAGGCATATGTTATCCATAAGTTCAACATATTCTCATTATCAGTTCGTATGAAATCGTACGAAAAGTGATGCACAGTATTTCGTGGGTTTTTGACGTTTTTCTACGAAAATACTGTGCATCACTTTTCGTATGATTTCATACGAACTGATAATGAGAATACACTGATAAGTTTGATGTTTATATAGATGATACATCTGTTATAAATTGGTATATATTTTCTTAGGTTACTTTCAGCAGTGAGGACAGGATTCTCTATGTGTTTGAAAACTCCTTCATTAACCTAGGTTAAGTGAATAACATCTTTTTAAGAATTCATTGAAAATTACAGCAAAAACAAAAAAGAGAACAAAAAGATAAAAACTTTGGAGGTACTGAAGGTTTTAGTTAATCCAAAGTTTTCTTTATTTATTGCCTCTTATTTAAAAGGATTTGCATCTATATATTCCAACACCATTTTTTCAAGTTACTCTACCTTCTATGCTCGGTGTGACATATTTGAGATTTTTTGGCATTGTGGTTTCTAGCCACACAAATTAAATGTTGATATCATTTAATCACATTAAAATGAATACCCTTTCACAGTTTTCACTTGCAACTCCAAGAGATTCTGTGTTCTATTTACAACAGGAATCTTGCTTGCTTTTAAGTGCAAAAAAGGCGCCAGAAATCCTTAATATCACTTATCTGGTAAAACCTGATGCTAATGTGTAACTTTATTATGAATAAAAAAAATAAATAACTGCATACAATAAAATATGATAACTGATTAAATGTACCTGTTGATGTAAAAATACGAGAAGTATCCCGATCCGATATCGTTCCAAATATATGCACATCCAAATATTATAGTGAATAGGATTCTCTGTTTAAATATTTCTTGATCAAGCCTTTTCCTTTATGATAAACTAATAATAAACTATAAATGCCTATAAACTATAAATATGATAAACTAATAAAAACTAATAAATTCAATACCCTAAACTTCAAGCCCAAAACAAACGTTCATTTCTGACAAAAAAGGTTTTGCTAAAGTCCAGCAAACCAAAAGAAAAGCTAATTCTTCCAACGACAGAGGATAGAGGAAAGCCCGCCCCGGAAGAGAAGAGCTGACCTGTAAAACACAATTTAAGAAGAATAACATTCTTTAAACTCAACTGGAAAGAGAGGACTTCTAAAGATATATTTTTAAAATAAAGAATCTGTAAACAAAAAAGATAAAAATTTGAAAAACTAAAATCTAAGACAACAGCAAAACCTTTTTTGATTAAACATTTTTCATAGCCTTATTTCTGATTGCATTTTGTTTTAAATTTACGTTTTTTTTATTCATGTTTTATCTGTAGGAATCTTTTGATAACACTCAGGATTAGTCAGAAATAAGAACCAAGCAGTTTTTTTTCATGTCTCTTTTATGTTGTGACCAATACAGCGTCCCCCATTTTGAAACTGATTAAGCAATCAAACCCACAACTGAAGTTCATGAAATAAATTATTTTACTAATTTCTTTGAGAGAGAAAGCTGATATGGGTAAAGTGCCTCAACAGAGAATCTATACGCCTTAAAATCCACATTTTATCACAGTTCAACCAAGAAAAGAAATTTATTGAGATTTCACTTAATAGACCAACACAAAGTGGCACATAAATCTTAGGAGGAAAGTGATATCAATAAACAATTTTAATAAAGGGTAGCATGGGTTTATATTTACCCCCCTTTTACTTTGAAACCCTCAAATAAAACTTAATGCAACAACTTTGGGTAGGAATGCTTTTTCAAGGCGCTGGATATTATTCTGTGTTTTCAAGCAATGCACTGAAGTCTATCTTTCAGTTCAATAAAAAGAAAGGCTGAAGTGAAAAGATAAAAATTATGGGAAAATGGGGGGTTAAACAGTTTTTCTGCTTGTTCAAGTGAGGAGGATGGATGCTACTGTGCTTTGTCTATGTGTGTGCATGTTTGAGGGTTCATTGGAGAAAAGAACGGGGACTTGTACAAAGGAGCAAAGGAGGAGCAAATACAGAAACGTCACATTTTTTTTCCTTCAAAAATGTCCATGTAAGTTAAAAACATCCACAATAACAAGATTTTGTATATATTATCATCCCTGTTAGAAGTTCAATTCATGTCCAGCATCCTTTTCATATTTTTTATTTCCTTGAGAAGGATGACGAGAAAGAACAAAATGGACAAAACCTTTTTTTTTTTTTTTTTTTATAAGTGCAAGGAGGATCAGTGGCTCATGTTTTTGCTTTTAATTTTTAAAAGTCCAGACATAAATATCTAAAACTGAGCTTGAGCCCTTTTTATTCTGTTATTCAGGAGGAGTAACTTTTCATATAAAATCTTATTAAGGGCAGTGTTCTCTTTAAAAGAAGGCCTGCTAAAACATCCTCTGAGCAGGACAACTACCAAGATCTCTAAGGAGGATTGTGTTTTACGGTCTTCTGACAGTCCTTGGTGGTTCGTTCCTCTTGCCTGTTTTCCTTGAGTATCCTAGTCAGTCATGAAGGAGTTCTTGGAGACAGTTGGGAGATTTGAAGACCTCAGGAACGTCGCTGTCCAGTTTGCAGATTACTTTGTAGATGGCCTTCTTCCATGATGGATCTGCATCCTTTCCAGCCACTATAGCGTTGAAGAACTCACGAAGCGTCACCTGGGCCACTTCAAGAAATCGATCTGGAACCTGCCAAAGAATTTTGACAGGTAAGCCGAGAACTCATAACTACTTTATATATGAAGCCTGATTATTTTATATGACAAAGTTCTTGGTCTAATTGGGGGTCATATTCAGACGACGCAGCATCAAAACCAACAATATCCAAAACTTGCTTCCAGTGTTAGAATTAGTATAAAAAATACAACATCTACAGATGTTTGTACACCCTTAACTTGACTGGAACCTCTTGTGGTTTAAATCTTAAGATAACACCCATAGATTGTATGTAGTAATTGTCATCCCATTTTCATTTAAGCTGCAACCATTGTTTGCATTTAAAGCTGTGATGAATTCAAGATGAATTTGTGTGATCCTCAAATACAAGAGCTGTATACATTTGATGTGCCTACTTAAAAAATCTTATACCTCTTCCCCACTGGCCGAAAAACTCATTTAAACCTGGGAACAATCAGCCCTTCGCAGCAGTGGCATCAGCTCACTGACCCGTGTCTACCCAAAACGACTCGTTAAGCAACCCATGTTAAAATCGCCTCAGCTCTGAATGGCATGCAGAGGCAACACCAGATGCGGGTCGACCCGCTAATTTACATAATACCATAGAGCTGTCTTCCTTCCATGTTGCTCTCCATTGTTTACTTTCCTGATTTCTGTTGCACTGATGTCCCGAGTGTAACAGAAAGTTGGTAGATTACAAAAACAGAAAAGGAAAGCTGTTTCTTTACTGACTTTGGACCAGGGTGGGGGTATAACCAGATTCAATGGAATAAACTGTAAGCAGCCAAAGTAGATATCTGCTTTAGTGCAAATTATTAAAGCATGAAGGAAAGCTTTCTAGTAAAAAAAATTATTTTTCATTTTGTGGAATTTTACAAATACAGGTTAAATTAGAAGCCCTTAAAAGAATAATTGTCTTTAATGCATGGTAGGTCTGTTGGCAAATAAAAAAAAACCAAAACACATTTTGTAAGATTAATGATGAGATGATATTAAAAATAACTGTACAAAAAACACTCGAAAAACCCTTGGAAAATTATTACCAAAAAAGGAAAAAAAATAAAATGGCGATCTTAGCAAACTGTGTAACTGAAAACAGTCCAGGATAAGAAAAGTCTGTTTGTTTCAGGTGTCTTTAAATTACTATTCCTGTAACCAAGTTCTTCTTCAGAACTTCCCTTAAAAACACTTCTTCTTTCTGTAAAGCCTGTTTTTGTGGGTGCTGTCAGAGTTCCTGATGCACGCAAACTCACAATGACGACAGACAGCAGATGAACCGCATGGTTATTGACCAAGGCAGATGAACATCTGTCTGGGATCTGTCAGCGATACTGCTTGTATGAATTAACACCTTGTTTGAAAGGAGAACAATAATACACACCCATCACCCCCCCCCCCGCACACACACACACCACCACACACACCTCTCCCAGGGGCAAGATCATCCAAAAGCACAAAACAACCTGACCATGGTTTCCTTTGTATCTTTTTTTTCTTCTTTTGAACTTTTTTTTTTTTTTGCATGCACACACAGCTGACTCTTCCAGACTAAATGCAATGACCTATACACCCTGAAAATCTCATACACACACATGTAGAGGACAGTGGAGTATAACCCCGTCACGCGTGGCAGGACGTGCCAAGGTTAGCCGCCACCAGAACGGATGAATCACTCCACGTGCACGCACACACCGGTTAAATGATTCCCTGGACTCTCATATACTCCCTCTACCCCAACCTACCCTTCCTCTCTTTTTAGCTGATCCCCCCTCCCGAGACCACTGTTATTTCAATGAGGCTCTCTGTCATTGTCTTACAGCAGACGGTCCTGTACAAACGATATAGATGCAACTTTCAGGTAATTTCTACTATTGGGCTTAAAGTTTGCAACCAGTTTCCCATTTCAGTTTTTAAGCCATTATTTCGTAATATTTGAGAACTCTGTGGATGTTTGCGGTGATGACCTGATATCTTAATGAGGTTATCACTACTAACACTTCCTTTGCTTAGTGAAAGCACTGTTTGATTTTGGGTTAAATCAGAATTATATCCTGAAGTGAAGCAAACAATCATTTCTGATGTTGTGTGCAAAGGATGGTGTAATAAAGACAATCACCCATATTCATCCTTTTGCTGATGATAGTGTGATTTACATTGATTCCTTCAAATTTGATATGTGGGACCTGGAACACGAGACCATCTCTACACCCTCTGTATGGTGCTTAAGGGTTTATGAAAGTTCACCCATTTGGTCCTCATATGCTTTGTTGACCTGCAGAAGACATTCGACCGTAACCATTGTTGTGCCCTGTAGGGAATGCTACATGTGTGGGGTCTGGGTAACTTTACTAAGGTAATCCAGTCTCTGTAAAAAGTCAAAAGAAGTCAAATCCACATTGCCACCATTATGTTCCTAGTGCACGTTGACTCGTTTTTAGAACCATAATGGTCAGGATTTGTAGGTGCAGAGAAAGGCTGGAGGGTCTTGTTTGGGGAATTAATCTATACTTTTTGCAGATGGCTTCCCTGACTCATTTCAAGACCTATAATATACAGTATGCTGGACCAGTCTTCAGCCAAGTGTAAAGCAGCCAGGATGCATATCAGCTCCTCCAAGTCCATGGTTTTAGACCTGAACTTTATGGCGTTCTCAGTTGGTTTGAGTGTCTATAGGTCATGTTCACAAAAGAGTATAATAAGAAATATATAAGGAGCTTTTCTTTGTTTTAAAAATGCCTCTTAGCAGTTAATCATATATAAATGGATAGTCTTTTTACTTCCCCTAAAAGTTGTGCCCCAAGAAAAACAAATTTGTGGATTGAGAGATAAGATGTGACAGTGTTAACCCACTGTCACATCTTTTCTCTTTTGAGCTAGATCCTACATGCTAAAAAACTCAATTTAGTTGAAGGTGGTGGAATGGGTGAATCCAAACTGGAAACTTTAATCCTCCATTCCAGTAAATTCCAGTTATTTTCCAGTGCATTGGAAATTTATATTTGTCAAAAATCTGTGTGAAACCGACTGCTTGTGCTGCTCAAACAATCCATTTAAACACTGATTGCATACTTGTTTACTCCTACAATAAACTTTGAAGGGCGTTGACAAACTAATTATTATCACATCTTTACCAATAGCTGTAGTTGTACACTCTAATTACAACAGACAACAGGGTATCACATGACAAAAAAATTTAACAGAAAATAAAAATCATTGCTTCTTGTGCTAGGTATCTAATTTGTTGTTCTATACTTGAGCTATCACAAATGTCCAGCCAGAATTTGCATACAGGGCCTTCATGTTAGCAAGAAATTAGCTGAAAATTGGGCCCCCCTAGAAGATGGGTTAAAAGATGCCATAATGCTAACTACAACTAAAAACTGTAGTTTCAACAACTGGTCTTGTCAAAGTCATATGTAGCTAACCCCAGTAGCTTCCATATAAATGCTCATTGATTGTGCTAATAGAAGTACATATATTGAAACAGTGGAAGCTCCTCACTTTCTACTACTTTTATTTGTACATTTCAACATTATCCAATAGGGCTGTGAAAAAAATTTCGTCCTGTTAAAAATGGTGACCTTTAATTAGAAGATATTGCAATTGACTGAAAATATGATCCAATAAACAATTATTAATGTGCCAGTTTTGGCTAACTTTTTTATAACTATTATATAAAACCCTAGAACCGACCTCTTGTATACAGCACTTCGTCCGAGAGCATAT